ACTGAGCACGAAGTATGGCGGAAACAGACGGAGGACGCCTCCTCCTTTGTAGCTATCTTCAACACACTAGCGGTCGAGTAATCTACAGTAGCAGCCTCAGAAAATTGACAGCCTGTAGTGGGCCCCGAGGCGGTTTAAGAGACCATACCAGGTCCGACAATCTACATTGACACCAGCCCTACCGAAAGAGCAGAAAGCGCGAACGGCTCGTAGCTCAACTAATTTATTGGTGCAGCCGTGTGTCTGTGTACAAGGTAACAAGTACGCGTTTATATCCCCTTGCTAAACGTCGATCCCTGAACGAACGCAGTTAGGTGAAGTTCATTCACGTAAATCAATTGACTCATGTTCGTTCGCGTGCTGCTCACCTCTATTTAGAGGACATTTGGTTAACAATTGCAGGCAACATAATCGACTGTAAGTGCTTTGTGGAATAAGCGGATATAAAGCGCAAACGTTGTCGATCATGACGGGTGTATGTCAAGCCTTAGACAACGATGAGCGAAAGAAACTTGCAGACCTCGAGGTAATGATGCCATCATGGACGAATTTGCGCACATCGTTGGGCGGTTTAAGAACTTGTTATCTACTAGGGCGTGCTGGTGCATTGACACGAGCGAATGGCTGTCGGAAAGTGGTGGGGCATGTCTGGTGAATGTGCCACGTGTGGGAGAACTTCACATCAGTAAGTCTAAGTCTCAACGCGAGCAAATTCAGGTGGTTATGCGCTGACATGCGGCGGTAGGATGACATCCCTAATGCAAGTCATTTTCTCATCACGTTCTTCGCTCAGTTCTTTTCAAATTGTCGGTTCTAGTATACAGCAGTCACCTTCTGACAAATGGTTTCCAGGAGTTCGTAATAAAGAACATCATTCGTGTCCCACTACCACCAGATTCACAGTATAACCTTCTCTAAGTGGATGTTTTGTCACGCCGTCACTGAACTGATTTGCCCGGGATCTACCCACGACAACATCTTATGACACGTCACATTAAAAATGCTGTCGGAAATAAGAGCATTTCTGAATAAAGTTAAAGGCAGTGATTAATTCTTCTTCTGAATCAACGATTATTTAGATTGTAGGTTAAGGTAGATCATATCTTCTTCATGAACACTTCCAGTTTAAGCATACTAATTTTTTGATGGATTTAGTATGGGTAAAGAAATTTGCTATGATATGCAGCCATTACTAAGTTGAGTTTAAAAAAATCAGAACTTTTTGTGCATCCTAAGTTAGGCGGAACATCATTTATCATTTCTTCATCAACATGCTCGTCGTCGTAGACAACAGCTCCCTTAGATTTTTTGGTATCAGATAAATAATTTATGATTTGTTTGAAGCGTATATAATGTACGTGGCACTAAATAGAGATTCAGGCATGTAACTATGAAGGTTGTACTATCATGTGATAATATTTAACACAGCTCATATGTTGTAGTGTTAAAACGCGAAATTTTGCAAATTTTTCGAAGCCATCTATAGACATTCTTTTTGATCGTCTCAGTATACATAACATGCGAAAAATTTTGATTAAATAATTTATTATTCCACCTTTTCTAAGTAGTAAAAATACTAATTTTTGCAATTTTTGCGTTTTAGTTATAATATTTGTTTATTTGTATCACATTCACCCAACTTAGACCGCAGTGCCACTTCAATTACCTGTTTGTCGTCAGTTATTCCGGTTCTTCATTGCGATGGTGGTTGTGCCAATAGACGCTGATCTAGACCAACCTCGCATCACTGGATTGGAATCCAGCACCGAGGAGGATTGTAGCAACAAAGCCCAGACTCCATTAAGCAAACCATTACCTCTTTGGCGAAAGTTGGCATTTGCAGCTGGTGGTCTTCCAATGCAGATGATGCAAAATATTATCGCGTTTTTTCTACCAATATTTTGTCTGGAGACCGTAAACCTTGATCCTTCTTATTTGTCTGCTATTCTACTGGTAGCTCGTGTTTCCGATGCCCTGACCGATCCAATTATGGGGTTTCTTGTTCTGAAAACGAGAAGTAGATTTGGTCAGAAGAGACCATGGTATGTTTTTAATGTATTCAACTAAATTAATCGGGTTGTTATAAATTTATGTGCAAAGTATTCTTCTACTTTTCGTTCCTTCGTGATAATTCTCAGTTTCCTTCTAGTCAATCCTTTTAATTAAGTGCACACGAGTTTAATTAACACGATGATGTGCCCGAAGAAGACTCGGTTATGCTCTATGATTGTAGATTAATTTTCAGTCACTTTGTTAATTTTGCTATATTTGCTAAAAGGTTAACAAGATCGATTGAGTAATTACCGTGGTGACTATACATGGGCTATACATAACGCTGAAATACTCCGATTTTTATAATCGTTGGATTGGTTGTCATCGATTCCCTGGAGATAGGTGCACACATTTGTTTGTGAAATACACACTCATAATTACTAATGAAAAATTCTTAATTGGAATTTTTGCTGTCGTATCATTGGTTATTCGCGTCACATTTGACTCATTCTTTTCAAATTAAAGAATTATTTGAGTAGACCTCGTGCATATCGGAATAGTAAGTTAAGCGTTTTTACTTATCACAGATATCGTGGCTTCAAAAATTCGTCCTTTTGCAGGTGCCATTGATTTCACGTGGGCTTTGCCTGTATGCAATTGGAGCAACATGAGTGATGTTATTGATGGTTAATGTGACTTAATTTAGTCGTATTTTGGTTTACTGAATTCAGCGAATTTTATAAAAAGTCCCCGCTCATCTTGATTTTGCTTAAATTGCTACCCTCCGCCAAACTTTTCCAATTTTTTTAAAACACTTTTTTACACGAAATTCAGATGAACATATTTGAAAATATTGAAATTTGATAACAATAAAAATTTTACATATTAGGTTAAAATTTTACAGTTTAGCTCCTCTTCTTATTTTGCTTGCATGTCTTGACAATGCTGTGAAATGCCTTATAGGATTCTCTTTTCAACACCAATTTTCGTTGGATCCTTCTTTGCACTATTTTACGCCGTTAGCTGGTCGGATGTTGCGAAACTCTGCTTATACATCACCAGCATCGTAATGCTTCAGGTTGGATTAACTGTAAGTTCACAGGTCATGAGCTTAATTTTGGCGTGAGCATGACACCAAATCCAGGCAATAATACCCTTTACCGGCCAAATCACGCTCGCTGTAAATGTTGGTCGCGCTTCGTTTGGTGTGACTGGGGTTCCACGGTGTGAATAGACGCATCGAGGCCGACACTATCAAAAACAAGCAACGAAAACAGTACTTATTGATTTTTTAGAGTTTATGTTCAATGGCTTTGCTTGCATCCAGCTTGACTAGTGCAAAGTACCGAGTCTTGGGTGATCCACATTCAAGAGACCGCCTAAGCGGGCGTGCTAGTACATTAAAACAAATGATCATTATGGTTCAGAGTTACTGATGAGTGTCGGCCAAGGTTCCTAGAACAATGACAGGGACACTAGTTGGTCAGGACTACTCGCTAAGATCACCTTGCATCTTTTTTAGTCATTCCACGTCCCCTACAGCTCAATGACCATCGTGCTCACCAATATTCCCACTGAACGGGACACCCTAACCGCGTTTCGTAAGTTTCCGTTCCTACTTAATCTATTCTCCCGGGGTTGTTTTCATCAATCGAGAACTGATTATGACCTTGGAAAAAGGGCCTATCGCCTGATGACTTTGAAGTCGCTCAATAACCCCTCCCCCCAATGTAACTTTTTGCTTGTTTTGGGTATATCCATCACAAGAGAAAGAACAGCAAAAGCCTATATGAATCCATTCCTTAACCAAAAGTTTAGTGACCTGCTTCGTGGACTTCACTCGCCTATTGCATAAAAATAATCGGACCAAATCCTGTATCGTGCTAAATCGTTATTCCACGATATAATCCTTGATCCGCGAACCTTTGACCTAGCATTGAAGTAGTTGCGTAAGCCGATCGTGCCGGCTAAGCGACGAACTGGATCGTGTTGTCCAGGTCAGTCTTTCCGCTGTCTGATCGGAGTTGTTCTGACATGTTAGATCAACCGGATAGCCAATCCTGGCGTCCGAGATGATCATTTGTGTTCAAGGGCCACCAATCGCAGGGATCGACTAGAATTGCCACCATTCACTACAATCGAACCACGCGATAAGCCTGCCCGAAAAAGTGGAACGACAATGCACGGCAACACGATCTCTTTCCGTGGGGTGGAGTTTTTCCTCATTTTGGACGCACGCTGCACTGCGCAACGTTTGCTTGTGCGCGTGCGTGCGTGCATGCGTGCGCCCGTGTCGTGTCAAAATCACGCCACATCCATCGTCGATGACTAATGGCCTTGGGATTTTGCATTCTGGACAATTTCGTCACGTTTGCCAATAATCGTGAGACCCCGATTCGTGTCGCACAATTACATGCTCCAGTTCGCCTAGACGGCACCTCCGTCAGGGCTTATGCACCGAATTCTGAATGCAAAATCGATCAAGACACGTCGGCGGATTGGCTATTTAACCAGAAACCTCCAAGATGCGTGTTCGCGGAAGTCTCTCACACCCCGTCAATGTTTTTCATGCACGTAGAAATCAAACTTGACAGATTGCCATCAACGTGTCCTTTCTCCCTCCCTAATTTCCTCTAGGCATGTTCTCCGAGGTGCTTGCCATTCTCCTTGGTGTTTCCGTCTTCGGCGCCATCATCGCTCAGCACCGCGTCGCCACAACCTGCGAGGAGTCCGTCTACTTGAATGCCACCTCCCCCGAGCAGGTGATTGTCAGTCCTGAAGCCAAGCAACTGGAGGTACTGCTCTAAGTCTTACGATTTTGCACGACGTGAAGCCTGGAAGTAGTGAGAAATGACGCTGCATTTTTAAACTGTAGGCGTGGTCCTATGTCACGGCTGCCAGTGTGACCTGCGCGATTGGGGCCGCGGCTGCTCTCATCTGCTTCTTTGGCACTCGCGAGGTAAACAACTCGGAAGAACCATCCACAAAGGAGGAAGATGTGGGCTTCTTCAAGTCTGTCCGTCTAGTTCTCACCTACCGACCCTACCTGTTGCACATGGGGGCTTTCCTCTTCTTGTCGCTGGGGATTCAGGCAAGTCATTGGTTTAGTGGACCCGGCTGATTCAAGCTGGCCAATCAGAGCTAGAATTGTATCGCTTTCTTGTCAAGCTCTGGAAAGTCCTGATCTTTGCTGTGGAAGTGCTGCTGTAGGATTCGCAATTTTAGCTCGCTTGGTATTCTTTCAATTGTAGTAAGTCAATGCGAGTGACGGAAGCAAAAAAAGGCATTTAATAACTTTCCCTCAGTCCTCGAAACAGGACACGTTCCAGTGCCAAATGGTGTTTGGGGTTATGTTATTTTCCCAAATAGGATGCTTTCCTCCTGAAGATGTCTTCAGGGCATCTAACACCACCACCACCACCACCACCACCACCACCACCACCACCACCACCACCACCACCACCACCACCACCACCACCA